GCTTTCAGAGAAAGGTCTTGATCAAAAGAGAAAAATGTGAAAATTAATAAATAGAAACCTCATTTAAAATGGAGTCAGGAGGCCAGAAGGGGAAGCTCTCACACCCTACAACAATGGTCGAGCCCACGTGGAAGAAGAAAGACTTCCTCTTCTTGTCCAGCCAATGAGAGACTGTCACAGCCAGTGAGAGAGTGTCACAACTCAGCCAATGAAAAGCCAGTACACTTTGAACTCTGAGTTCCTCCAATGGACTCTTTGTTTACATTAGCCCTCCCCACATCCTCTTCCCCTCCATGGAAGAGTTTCTCCTCCCCTTGTTGCTTGGACCTTGCAAGTGGCTCACCATGTTTGCAGATCCCTAACTGCAATTCTCTGTTGATCCCGAATAAACTCATTTTTGCTGGAGAAATAACTGGCTGTCTATTGTTTAAAGTCAACACCAACACATTTCAAAGAAAAAAGCAGAAGCACTGGGAATAATCCCCAGGAGAAAGAAAAATAAGGCCTAGACAAAGAGAATATCCCAGGTGATGAGCTCAAAAGTTAAAGTTCACAACAGCCTTTCAGCCTGGTAATCTGGCAAGAGGTCCTAATAGCTTTAGGCATAACCTCTGACCCACTTCCACTTCATGGAATGTATCCTAAGTAAATAATTAAAGGTAAAAGAAAAAATTTAGCCATGAGGATGTCCTACATAATAGCCAAAAGAAAAAAAAAAGATACAAACTAAGCTAGTTAATTAGTACCACACAATGAATGCTCAACAGCCACTAAAAATGATCACAGCCACTACAGCTATGGAGGTATTATTTACTGGCATGGAAAGATATCTCCAATTACATTGTTAAGCAAAATGAGCAAACAACAAAACAGAATATACAGTATAATACCAGTTTTCCTTCTCTCTAATTCTCTATATTGATAGCTGTAAACCCTGTATTTCATGCTTGGAATAGAAGTGATTATTCCTGGCTGGTGGTATCATGGGTGATTCAGTCTTTGTACTTTTCCTCCAATTTCTAGTTTTTTATCATTATTACTAGAGTACCAGTACAAAAGAAAAACAAGCTTTTTTAAAACAAAAAGTCATGCACCAAATAAAAAGCCTGGGCTACATAACCAAGCATGAATGCAAAGACTGGAATAGTCCTATAAGGATGGCTAAAGATAAGAATAAGCTAAATATTTTGAAAAACATTAAAATGTTTAATATTGATTTTTTTAAAGAGGTCATATCTAAACAAGAGTAAGTAAAAGCCTACTGGTTGAGGCACAACAGTATCACGCTAATAGATGAAAAAAGAAGACAACACAACAATCTCCACTTAGCATCTATTGTCCAGCTGGACAAGGGGTCTTCAAATAGGAAAAGTCACAGGAATTGGCCCCACAAGGAACCCAAGTGGTGGTGGGAGAGCACCCAACCACTCTGGATGCGTCTGAGTCTCTGGGACCCAGAGGAATAATTGCCCAGACTGTGGAAATGTCAAGAACATTACTACAAAATTGGGGCCAGCAATACGTGAGAAATCAGAGACCAGGTGAAGAGGGAGAAAACTGGAAAAAGCACCAACATCTGTTGTATTTGAGGAGTCAGATATGAAATCAAACTCTGGCTGCCTCTTCCCAGCTCTGCAACTATGTAGGCATTTTACTAACCTTTCTGAGCTTCAACTTACTGATTTCTAAAATGAAAATAATAATATAGAACTCCCTGAGTGTTGGTGAGGAGTCAATGAAATAACATGTGTAAAATGCCTAATTAGGTGCCATGCTCCTAGGAGGCAGTCAGTCAATAAATAGCAGCTAGAGACATTTTTTTTTTTTTTTTTGAGGAAGATTAGTCCTCAGCTAACTGCTGCCAATCCTCCTCTTTTTGCTGAGGAACACTGGCCCTGAGCTAACACCTGTGCCCATCTTCCTCTACATTATATGTGGGACGCCTATCACAGCACGGCTTGCCAAGTGGTGCTATGTCCGCACACAGGATCCAAACCAGTGAACCCTAGGCCGCCAAAGCACAACGTGAGAACTTAACCGCTGCGCCACCAGGCCGGCCCCTAAATACATATTTTATTAGCGGCTGGGTGTAGAAACCAGGCACCTAGATGTTTGGCCATATTTTAATCCTCAATTTACCATTCATAATTTAAATTTGAGATTCCAGAATTGTCAATAAGGAGCAAGTTACAAACACTGATGAGGCATCTGAAGGGCTGTACTGGGAAAAGGCTAGAAGGAGAAGAAAACTCCCTTCAGGGCCTGAGACCGGTGAAGAGCCACAACCCCTGGCCATCTAGGAAAGATTTCATTACCTTTACCAAGGGAAGGATTTTCCTTGGGGACAGTGACAACAAACAACAAACAGCAAGCTGCTCCACTTCTTACACTGATTCACAAGAATAAGCCAGGGACACGCAGTGCAGCCCTGGAGTCTCTTGCAAGCTTCTGGGACTCTTATTTCCAGGCTGCAAGGAAGCACTCGCAAAAGTGAGGGGCAGGAGGGATGGAGGTTAACAGCAACGCAGATCAGTTAAGAAACCTAAGAAGACAGAATCCAGAAGTGAGAAGTATTTTCAGTAGACAGGGAAAGAAGAAAACAAAGCCCAAAGGCCAGGTCCGGCCTTCCATAAAAATTCTTTATCATTTCTGCTACAAATGTACTGACAGACAATTGAGGAGTAAGTTCACACATAAAAAGAGAAAAAAACTATGCAATTTGAACTATTATCAAAGACACTTGCAAATATTTTTCCGCTTTTGTTTTTCTTGATACTATTTTCTCATTAGCTGCAAACACCGTTTTCTCTAGAAGCTCACAGCATAGTGGGTACAAGAGTTTGCCTGCAGTCTCCACCATCACCAATGTGACCTTGGACAACATACGTAAGCTAGCTGTGCTTTAGTCTCCTCATCTGTAAAAAATACTCCTTTTTCCTAGGGTTGCTGTGAGGCTAGATGAGTTATATATAAATGCTTAGAACAACGTCTGGGCACCAGATTTTTGTCTTTGTCTCCTTAAATTCTACACAGTTACATTACCAAGCAGAAGATTTTCTTTAAAAACTCCACTACAAATGAGAAGAAGAAATAATGTGTCTCTAGAGGCCTGAAATGTCTGATGGGTACAGAGAGGCCAGTCCCAGTTCCACTGATAGGATGACCGACAGCTATGCTGGCCTTCTATTCTCACTGATAAGGCTGAAAACCGTAATGTTTTCCCACTCACCATGCACGGCTCAGAGTGAGATTTACACAGGAGGATATTCAACTAAGCATTCATTAAAAAAGTTTACTTTTATTTTCTGTTTTTGAATAGGTGATACACAGACTTGGTATAAAATTCAAATACTACGAGGTTTATAGGGAAAAGAGAATTTCCCTTCCTCTCCCGCCCCAGCTCCCAATTCCCTGTATCAGAGCTATGCTGTCATCTGATTCTCGTATCTTTCCAGAAATGAAGCATCATTTAAAAGAAGAGAAAGCAACAGCATATCCAATCAAGTGGTTATTATTTGTAATGACAAACGCTGTTAGGAGGAGTCTTTAATAGCATACTAAAGACTCTACACTGTGGGGGCCGGCCCGGTGGCACAGCAGTTAAGTTTGCATGGTCCACTTCGGTGGCCTGGGGTTTGCTGGTTCGGATCCCGGTTGAGGACATGGCACCTCCTGGCAAGCCATGCTGTGGCAGGTGTCCCACATATAAAGGAGAGGAAGATGGGCACGGATGTTGGCTCAGGGCCAGTCTTCCTCAGCAAAAAGAGGAGAATTGACAGCAGATGTTAGCTCAGGGCTAATCTTCCTCAAAAAAAACAAAAAACAAAAAACAAAAAACTCCATATTGGTAAGTGAAAAACACTACAAAATTATATTTAAAGCATAATTCTATAAAAATGCACATTAAAAATATGAAAGAAACATGTCCAACCATCAGAAGTGGCTGCTTCAGTCTTGTGAAATTAAGGTTGAGTTTGTTCCCTTGTATCTGTCAACCTTTTTTAAAAAAAACACTTTAAGGATATTCTAAACTGAACACCTATTTCATAACCAGGAAAAAAAATTACTCTGCTGTCACAGCATGTCCTCTTCTTTTTGTTATTTAATACTGCCACCACACTTAAAATTGTATCTGGCTTCAGAGCCTAACTATCTTAAAGGTTTTCCACTCTTCCTATTTCCAAAATGGAACAGGGGAAGAAATACATATGACAACCATAAAGCGACAGAGACTTTTTTTGTTTTAAACAAGCACTTTATGTCTTTTATCATCAAATGACTGTTAACTCTTTTCAGAATAATCACTTTGGGAGACCACACACTTATTCTTAAAGTAAAAAACAGGCAAAACGGCATGATGTATTATTTTCGGAAGAAAGAGAATTTGCACCTTGGCACTGAGGCTCCACTCCCATCAGTTCAGGTAGGAAGGCTGGGGGGTGAGTGGGGGTGGGCTGACTGGGTTCTGCTGGGCTCTGGCCCAGAGTGTTCTGAAAAGGCCCGAAGCTCCTCTACCCCTTGTGCTAGAGAAGTGGGCACACGCATACAGATTCCCAGAGGTTACAACAGGCTGCGCATGGTGACAGAGGTCATCCCAGAACATTCCACAGAAGCTACTCTTTCTCCAAAGCCACCATGGGGGCAGCAACCTCAATCTACCCTCTCCAGGTCAGCATCTCCTCTTTGGAGCTACTCAAAGTTTACACCTGCACTGGGACAAACAAGGAAGGGCTACGAGTTTGGAATATTTCTCCCTTGAAACCGAAACTAAGAAAAACACTGTGCAGTGGTCGTGGCAAGTTCTCCCTGTGAACGCCGGGTCCAGACAGCGGGCACAGAAGGCAGGGCTTCCCTCACACCCCAACCTGAGGCCAGCTCCTGGGCAGCCCCAGCAGGCGGAGCCTCAGGGAGCAGGGCGTTTGTGACTAAACCAAAGGGCTATCTGGAGGCTGTGAACCTACGTTCTTCTCTTACACAGGGACTCGGACAGGGGAACTTACTGAGAGGTCAACAACAGTCTTGACGGCCTTTTCTTTTCTCTTGAGGAAGTCATCATCCTGTAAGACAAAACAAGGAATAAACAAATCTTGTGCGAAGACTGAAACGCACTGGACTGCTCAGACGTCTGCCTCTAAACCGACTTCCCGTCACTACCTCACCTGAACCAGTCTCAGTTTTCTAACAAACTGGAATACATTCTGCACGGGAGAAAGCTACCGCCTCTGCAGCTGGCTCCAAAACAGAGCTCTATAGTCAGTGAGAAAAACGGGGACCAATGAGTGCAGTGGTGACGACAAGTATTCTCATTAGAAATCCTTAGGAGCGCGGAAGCCTCAGGCAAGTTACCTAGCCTCTGAGCCTCAGTCTCTCCATCTGTAAAACAGGGACAGAAACACCTATCTCAGGGGGCCGTCATGAGGATAAAGAGTAGAAGGCAGGTGATGTGCTGGGGCTAGAATGTAGTAAGCATTTCATAGTGACCAGCTATTATTGTTGTTTTGATTACCTTTCAACTGTTCCTCTAAGAATGTTCTAGGCAAGTGGTCTCTTGAGAAGCTTTGTATGACTATACAAAAATATACTCATGTTCCTGTAATTTAATAAAAGTTCTGGATCAAGTACCAAAACTGACAGAAAAGGACAAAACTCTAGGGCTTTCCACTCAGTGCCCATTTAAAGAGGCAGTTCTAGAGACCCAGGAGGCCCAGTCTCAGTGCTGCCCAGGCAGAGGCAGAGATGCCACACAGGGGGTGGGAGCGCAGGGTAGCCTGCGCTCACTCTGCTCCTTCTAAGTGTGCACCCATGCTCTCAGCTGGACAAGAAAAGAAAATGAGAACACTGACCTCAGGGAGACTGCAGGTCTTCTGGAACTGGGACACAGAGTAGGAGCGGATGTAGTCACCCATCTCTTCTTTTGTTTCTATAGCTCGCTTCACCAGCCACTGCAGAAGAAAGTTAGGAAACGTGAGCCGATGGGGTGAAACACCACTGCTGTGAAGGCCAACTCAGAGACGGCACCACTCGTGAACCCAAATCACTGTCCTTGAACTGACCAAGTGACGACAAGCTATCAACACACACTGTCCTATAGCAAAAGCAACTGGCTTAGCGTCTGAGATGCTAAGATCCAGTGGGACGTAGAGCTGAGCAGCTGTGCAGGAGGAGCCTCACTTCAGAGCCTCAGGCCTCAGTTTCCCTCTCCATGTAAAGTGAAACTGAGAATGTCAGTTCCTTTCACCTCACAGAGCTACTGTGGGAGCAAATGAAACCACATGTACTAGAGTGCTTTGTAAATACCTGAAACATAACACAAATGCAGCTATCCCCACAACCTCCTGGTTATAGCGATCGATCTCAACGTCATTCTTTTTCCTGCTTCTTGCACCACAGACCAGAGAAAGGGGAAGAACCAGAGAGAACCCCTAGCATAACCCTCAACTGACAGATGAAAAAACATCCCCAAAATATTCAGATGTGAGAACAGGGTGTACTGAGTACACAGCCTTGGGCTTCGGGTTAGCTTGGCACTCACAACATTCTCTCTCTCAATCCGCACAATGCTACAAGGTGGCTGGTACTGGCCGCGATGACAGAACCTGAAGCTCAGAGAGACTACGTAATTTGCCCATTGATCCACAGCTCGCAAACCACAAAGCTGGGCGTCACAACTCACAGGCTCTTCCACACCAGAAGACTGGACATATGGGCTTCATTAAATGTTTCCCAGCTCTTTTGGGCTGATGTGCAAAAGGAGGAGTTTCTCCCTACCTTACACTCCAGTTAATTAAAACACACACATACACACACCCACACCCCATAACCTGTGGAAGATTCCGGTGCTCTGAGGGTAAGAACGCAAAGTCAAATAAGAGCCTTTGTTGTCCTCCCCTGGCTCTTCATTCAATTCCTGTACTACTGAAGAACATCATGGAGGGGCTGCCATCTGTCAGGCTTGCCATTCTCTCTCCAGAGAGAGCCACTACATCTCAAAAGCAGTTTTTGGACAGTAGTTGTGTTTCCCCAAGAGCACAGCCACACGTGGCAAGGTTTAGCTGCCTAGGAAAGTAGACACGTGGCATGCTGCATGGTGATCCCACAGGGACAGGAAGAAATGCTTGATCATGGAGGGCAGCCAGCTCCAGGAAAGGACACGTTTAGGAAGTGGCTGCCCAGGATAGGGGCGGCTGCAAATATCTATATAAGGAACATTCTTTTGTTGTCAGCATCTTCCATTTATTTCCATCATTCCACTCCACCCCACCTCCAAACAACCACCTCAGGCACGGACAAAGCCAGAAGCAGGGGCAGAGGATGAGACCACACTCAGAACTACGGTAGCTCCTAATTCGCACCCCCACCCCAGCACCACAGCCCCAGACAACTAAGGAGGCTGACACCTGCTCAAGTCAATTTGTCTCTGCTTTGCTTTAGATCCAGAGATCCAGTTTCTGGTCTTTCATACTTGTTTCCTTTTCCATTAATCAGATCTACCCAGAATTATCACTTGGTGGGATGCTGGAGAGTGTGATCAGATAAGGAAGGCAAAGCATGTTGAGTTGATGCGGGGTCGGTGAGCCGAGGAGTCGAAAGAAAGATTTCTTAGACTCTTAAGATCTGGCAGTAGTGCTCTTTTATTTAGAGAATAGTGTGGAATAACATGGGGACAGGACCCATGGGCAGGCAGAGCTCCTGCTGCTACCCCTTCTGCTGCCCCCGCTGGCATGGGGACAGGGCCCATGGGCAGGCAGAGCAGCTGCTGCTGCCCCCACTGGCATGGGGACAGGACCCATGGGCAGGCAGAACTGGTGCGTGGAGACAGGACCCACGGGCAGTCAGAGCTCTTGCTGCTGCCCTGAGTTGAGGGTTAGGGCTAATTTTATAAGGCATGGGTACGTGACTTATTTTTACTGGAAAAAAGAAAAGATGATGTAAAAAGTCATTAAATGATTTCACTGAAGATGGGGTCTGGTTATTGTGCGGTCATATAACTTTAGATACGAATCTGGCCATATAGATCGGCATGCAGGTGAGGATGCCCTGGGCTTCTCTCCCTGGGGCAGTCCTAATTCATACCATAAAAAAAGTCCACTGGGTCATATAGTTTGGCATGTAGGCCAGGTCACCTTGGGCTTCTCTAGCTGGGGCAGCCTTAATCCACATCAGAGTCATAGGATTCCCACAGACAATCCAATACTGTTTTGGAGTTCCCAGCATGAAGGGCTGTGGAGGGAACCTCTTGGACAGCCACGCTCTGCCACAGCTCCCTGGCATTCGAGAAAAATAGCTACCCTCACAGGATCACATCCCACATGGGAGAAAAAGATGTGACCTAGAATACCAATGGCTGGAAGTTAGACCCGTTTTTCTCCCGGCTGGCATTCGGAGGGTGTTACTGTAGCTTTGTAAACGTTGTGAACATGGGGGATGTGTCTCGAGCCCGGCACAAGACAACGAGTTCAATGGTTCCCAACTGCTGGTCCGTGACTATCCTTTCACTGGTCTCCAGCAAAACAGGAAAAAACTAGAGGCATGTGGTAAGCTTTTCAGGATGCTAAATGTATTCAATTTGAAGGAATGTCCTTTATTTTAAGATTGGGAGTTAAATGGCTTTTTAGGGAATGATAGAGAAACTAAGAGCAGTTACTTTTAAAAAGGCCCTTGCCTGGCAAAAGACAGATGGCAACCGTAGGTCAACCTCCATTTTTGCTTTAAAATTTGACTGGTCCATGACATTAAGAAATCTGGTAACCAGCAGCCTAGGCTCTCACATCCAGACAGGAAGCCCCCCAGCATTCAACTCACAACACGGAACATTCACAGACACTCAAAATGCCCAAACCAAATGCAGAAGATCACTTCCTTTTCACCCTCTCCTCATATCTAGACTAGATTCTTTGCCCTCAAAGTTCTAGCATGGGGCTGAGGAAGGTCTAATCACTAGAGATCCAGGCTTTGGGGGAAAAGGCAACAACTTCACAGAATGACAGTGTTGGAGGTTTTAGGAATAACACAGGGGCCCTACCTCCTAGTTTCAAAAAAGGATCAGGTACCGTCCCTCTGCACCAGACAAAAAGTCTAACAAAGATACAAATCAAATTCTGAGTTAAAGTCTTGAAATATTTTGCTGTGTACACAAACAACTTCTGGGAGCCTTTTCCTTCGGTTTGTCATTTTCTGGATCTCATCCCATACCGTAGTAGGAGAATCACTGGCGCAGGAGTCTGGAGCCCAGAAGTTTAGTACTGGCTCAGTTACTGATAAGGAAGAAGGATGAGATTAACATTACTGAGGGCCTGTGCCGGGTTGACCTCTTTTGGCCTTTGGCTCTTTGTCTGTAAAATCAAGAGTTTAGGCTAGCATGAGTTGCTCCTAACCAGAGATGTCCAGGAGTTACTTGAGTGGTTTGGTTTGAGATTTTTGTTTGTTAAAATGTTGAGACCCAGCACCAGACGTGCTCGATCAGAATGGCAAAGGCTCTGGCAGTGGTTCTCAGCCAGGGCAGTTTTGCCTCCCAGGTGGGGTGACCAGCTCATCCCAGTTTACCCAGGACTTGACCAGTTTTAACACTGAAGGTCCTGCATCCCATAAATCCCACCTCTGTCCCAGGTGGCCTGTGAGGATTGGCCGCATATTTTGGTTGTCAGAACTGGGGGCAGGCTACTGGCATTTAGTGGGTGGAGGTCAGGGATGCTGCAGAACATCTCATAATGCGAAGGACAGCCTCTCACAACAGAGAATTATCCAGCCCACGATGTCCATAGTGCCCAGGTTGGCAAGACCTGGGTTATAGCCAGGGCGTGTGTGGGCTGGGGAGCTCATGGGTCATTCTGATGCCTTCACCTGCTGCAGGTCCACAGCACGCTTGCTGTGTGGGTTCACTCCAACAGTCTGTGTCTGTACCTGACTCTTCTCAGTAGTCTCTTTAGAGTTAAATTAACAACTCTTGCGATTGACTTCAAATTCAGTTTTTATTATACTAAATGTTATCACTTTTTCTTTCAGATTTCTTAAACATTTCGTTTTTCTCTGAACTCTCTCCCAACCCGACCAGCCTTGGCATTTTCATTTCATACAAGTTCCTTGATTGTACGTCCTCTCCGCCCCTTCTTATTTTGTCACAGTTTAGGCTCTGGGATATAAGGTACACCGCCGTCAGTGGTGGAGAAACTTCAGAAGTGTAGGGTCGTCGTCTTTATATGTAGAAATGGTTGGGGATTTGGATTTTCTGACTGGAGGAAGCTCTCCTAAGCTTGACTCCAACCCAGTGGTGCCTTTAGCCAGCAAAAAGAACTTAGGCAATTATAGCAGTATTAACTGTTAAAAAGGGGGTAAACTTGCTCATGATAAACTGTCTTCTGTTTAGGAGCTTTTGAGGATACTTCATTTGCTTCTCTGACTAGTCTTGTCAATGAGAACACTCTAAAGGCAATAAAAGAAATGGGCTTTACAAACATGACCGAGATTCAGCATAAAAGCATCAGACTGCTTCTGGAAGGCAGGTATGATCCACATTGATGTTTGGGCTTTAATCTGTTTTCAGTGCCAGAAGTTCAGAAAGGAAATACCAGTATGTTCGGTTGATTTTGCACTGTGTGTTGGCTTACATATCCAACCTGCTTTGAAGACTTATTTGCTGATGTCTGAAGAAAAGCGTTCCCTTCTGTTGTATAGCATGGTTCTTATTTCTGAGTTGGGTATCTGACGCAGGTGATTGCCTTCAGCGATGGAGAAGGTGGGGACTGGGTCTTTTGTTGCTCATGTTCTGGCGTTGATGCCCAAACGATATGCAGTAGTGACATGGTAGGTATTCAGTACATGACTTGTTGAATGAGTAGACTAACTGTCTCTGACCTTTCCTGTCTTAATCCTTAGGGATCTTCCAGCAGCTGCAAAAACAGGCAGTGGCAAAACCCTGGCATTTCTCGTCCCTGCGGTTGAACTCATTGTTAAGTTAAAGTTCATGCCCAGAAATGGTAAGTCTGTGATCCACTGTCTTTGCCGTAC